GATCTTGGTGGAAGTAATATTTATCATCACCTATCAATTACTTTGATATCATCATAACATTTTTATCAAGAAAGTACTTTTAGAAACCCCCACTACCACCACATGTTCCCAGATCTTCAAAAATTATAGGAAGATGAAAAAATGAGATTTTGAAGTGTGGTAGGAAAATTGAAGTAGGGTTTTAAAGTACTTTGAGAAAAAAAAATTGCTTACCTTAACCCCTTGGTGCCGGGTGACGCCGATCGGCGTGTAAACAAAGAGCTCGAAAGCTGGCGTGCAGCCAAACGAGCCGGCGGCGCGCCAAAGCGCGGTGAGCCAGTGATTCGGGCTGATGTCCCCTACTCACGCGCTCAAAGTCGGTGCGCCGCCTTTGTTTGTTTAAGCGTAGAGTTTTTTTTTTCTTTTGTACACCCGGCGCCATTGGGTTAATGTACATTTCTCTTGCAAATATAAATTGAGACTTGTACAAAATCTTTGTAGCCACCACTATCCAAGTACACCACTTCTGCAATGCAAAGTTATTATAATTAGAACAAGTTACAAGCAAAAACATTCTTAAATACTTTTGACAGATATCAGTCCAGCATAGGTTTTCTGCATACTTTCCTCTGATCTGGTGCCAAAAAATTCATCATGTTATATTTCTCCCCAATATAGTTCAAAATTCTTGGTATATTTAATATGTACTCACCTCAACATATTCTGCACCATGCTGGTAAAACCCATGCAAGCTGAAATGAAAGGCTTTTCATTAGAAAGCTTAAACAGTGTTGTCCAAATTATCTAATGCAGTGTCACATCAGTGACCACGAAAATCATCTAAGAATATTCAGAGACGATTAATTTATGCATCACTTCAGTCAAAAAAAGAAAAAAAAAATATATATGCAACGAAGTTAATACATACCGTTCCTTATGGAAATAAGGAATTCCACCATCATGTATCAGTACATCTTGAAAACCTGGAAGTAAAAATAGAATGGGTTAACCAACAAATTTAGATTAATTGAACAATGTAGTTTCCTGAAAAATGGTACTTGGTTTCTACATTTCCCTGCCACTAAAGAAAAACTCTTGCCTTTCACTCTGGAATACTGGAATGCATAGTAATCAAGTTCAGAAGGGAACAAAGTGACTATTTCATACAAATCCCTTCCACCTATTTTTCCAAAAATTTAACATGTTTACATATAATGAAATCCGTTTCATGTCCTAATTAATCAATCATCTTGCCTACTTCATAAACGCTCCCTTAAAATGATTAATTTACCAACCAAAAATCCAGAAATGCCATGAACCATTTCATTTAATACCCTCAAAATTGCCTAACTCCCTTCAGGCCCCCCAAGGAATTTACCATCAATCTGCCAGATAATTATCTAGAGTCCATGTTTGATTTAAGAACTTCTTATATAAAGATATTAATAAATACCCAAGACCATATTTCTTTACATCTATGGAACAAGAGTAAAATCAGTCAGGTTTTCCGTTACAAAAGTTATGGATCAAATTTTTCCCCAAAATTAGGAATAGATCAAAATATAAAGTTAAGAGGGTAACAGTTTGTATCTTTCCATAGTGACAAGTAAAGACATCCCTAACCTGTCTCACCAAGGAATAGAAATTAATCTTCTTCCACTTTCGGCGCCATATTAGCAATCACAACCAACATGGGTTCCTATGGGAAGGTATTCTATCAAACATGTACCTTCTACTACACAAAGCAAATCTATTTTTATCACTTGAAGCCGACAAAATATTGCTATGTTCAAGTCTTTTGCAGTACAAAAACCCTAAAAAAGTTTTAAGAATAAAATACAATGCACCCAGAAATCAAAAAGGGAAATTACACTTATAGATATATGCCATTTCCATTAATGTCCAAAGGCTTATGTAAAAGGTTTCTAAGCAATAGTGAAATACAGATCCCTATAAATCTGCAAAATATCATTCAAGATTAAAAAGTTCAATTGTAACTTACCATAGTCATGTCTAGCAACTTTTGTCACCATACTGGAAAAAAATGGGAAAAGAAAATGTTACAATCAAGTTTTCTACAAGCCAAGATTATCAATTGAGAAGCAAGTGCAACAGATTTAAATAAATGAAATATGGACCTCTTTAGGTTTTGTACATTTCACACAAAAATTCAGCCACTATGTAGATTAGATTTTACAACAAAAATTTGTTCCTAATCCAATGGAGACCAAAAGTATAGGTTAACTAATCATCTCACCCTTGGAAAAGGGTTTCTTCTACTTCCACTTGACGGCCAGAAAGGAACAATTTCCTTCCTGGTGCTTTTGGGAAGGTAATTCATAAACAATTTTTGAATTTCAAGTGTTACAAGACTTTATTTCTGACAAGAATTGGAAACAATGCACCCTATTCATTTAATATGACATCGTTAGTAACCAATAGTTACCAACTATCTTCCCATCTTACAAAAATTTGGAGCAAATCTGCCCTATATCAACTCTCCAAGTAATTCTAATAATTTTCAATGCAGAGTTGTGGTTACATAAAACTGCTATTAAACCTACATGTTCAACAACTGCTACTATTTTGCCGCTTCCTTTCAGGTCATCTGAAATTCTCTAGTCCATCACTGGTCTGCATTCCTGTAATCCAGAAAGCCTTTCATGAGGTGTCATGTTAACATTTTATTTGTAATATAAACATTAAAATACATTTATCCCTTGTTCCATTGCGACAATCAGCACTTTTCACTAATCATCTCACCCAGGAAAAGAAGTTATTCTTCTTCCTCTTTCGGCACCGCATTAGTAATTGCAACCAACATGGTTTCCTATGGGAAGGTATTCAACTTTTACCAAGTAAATACATTTGACATGCCATTACATACCTTTTTCTAGGGGTGTGGTGGTGGTACACTTTTCATGCAAGCATCTCAGTTTGAAGGGTTTCTGGAAGAGCAAGTTTCCCAAATTAGGTTTTGTACATCAGAACAAAGCATGTAACTAAAATTTACCATCTTTTCTTCCTCAAATAAGCACATTTCTCACCCTGGGATAGGTGCTTAAGAAAATATTCAAAATATGTAGTGAGTAAGCAGACTCGCTAATTAAATTGTCCCTAATCCAATCGAGACCAAAATTATGGGTAAACTATCATCTCAGGCTTGGAAAAAGATTTTATCTACTTCCACTTGACGGCCAGAAAGGAAAGATTTCACCTCTGGTGCTTTTGGGAAGGTAACAACAGTATTCATCCAAGATTACTAGCAAGTAAACCTACAAAATCCATCTTTCCTAAGTACTCTAGTAGTTTTGGTTAAAAATTATATGGCCAGGTTTGTGAATGGGACAGCATCCACAAAGTTATTTAATAAATTCTCCATAAATACCATATAATGAAAATCATTTACAAACTTGTAAAATATTAGCTTCACATTAACAAATACTGATATCTAAACTCATAATTTACCATCATGCCATTGCTTACCTGTATCTTAGGGAGCTGGAGTCAGGAGAGAGTTTTCAGGTCAACTTGACTGCTCCCATCACAAGGATTCCTGAAAGATGAAAAATACAATCAAATGTAGCAAGAATGGGGATGGGGAAGGGAAGGGTAGGGTATGAATACAAGACTAAAAAATTGTCCCTTGTTCCATTGCGACAATCAGCACTTTTCACTAATCATCTCACCCAGGAAAAGAAGTTACTCTTCTTCCTCTTTCGGCACCGCATTAGTAATTGCAACCAACATGGTTTCCTATGGGAAGGTATTCAACTTTTACCAAGTAAATACATTTGACATGCCAATACATACCTTTTCTCTAGGGGTGTGGTGGTGGTACATTTTTCATCCAAGCATCTCAGTTTGAAGGGTTTCTGGAAAAGCAAGTTTCCCAAATTAGGATTTGTATATCAGATCAATGCATGTAACTAAAATTTACCATCTTTAATTCCTCTGATAAGCAAAGTATTCAAAATTTGAAATGAGTAACCTGACTAGTGTCACTAAATTGTCCCTAATCCAATCGAGACCAAAATTATGGGTAAACTATCATCTCAGGCTTGGAAAAAGATTTTATCTACTTCCACTTGACGGCCAGAAAGGAAAGATTTCACCTCTGGTGCTTTTGGGAAGGCAACAACTACAGTATTCATATCAAAGATTGTAAGTTTACTTGCTAGTAGAGTTAATCTTTGCCATGAAATATGGCAAGGTTTGTGAATGGGACAGCATCCACTGGAAGTTACACTTGATCACTTCCCAAAATACTATATTAAATCCTATTCAAAATTGTAAATATTTTCACAAGGACTAAGCTCCCTCATGGTAAAAAAAATTACCAACTATTGAAATCTAAACATTTACCATCGTGCCATTTGCTTACCTGTATTTTATTTTATGGAGCTGGAGTCAGGGAAGTTTTCAGGTCAGCCTGACTGCTCCCATCACAGTGCTTCCTGAAAGATGACAAATACAATCAAATGTAGCAAGAATGGGGGTAGGGGAGGGAAGGGTACGGTATGAATACAAGACTAAAAAATTGTCACTTGTTCCATTGCGACAATTGGCACTTTTCACTAATCATCTCACCCAGGAACAGAAGTTACTCTCCTTCCTCTTTCGGCACCGCATTAGTAATTGCAACCAACATGGTTTCCTATGGGAAGGTAAAATCTATATGGCAGTTCTCAATAACATACCTTTTGTTCATTAGGTGCAGAAGTGTAGGTCTTCAACCAATATCAACGAGCCTCGGCTTCATTTTCTGAAAGGAAAAACACTTCATAGAGCAATGTATCTCAATACCAAAGTCAGTTGCTGCAAAGTAATGATTTTAACTTGTTCCAAAATCCATTGCGACAAAGAGCACTTTTCACTAATCATCTCACCCTGGAAAAGGTTTTACTCTACTTCCTCTTTCGGCGCCATATAAGCAAGTAAAACTGACATGGGTTCCTATGGGAAGATATCGTCTGATACACACCACATTAGTTTAAAAATTAAAGTCAATTAATACTAACCAGCACTTCACTCTTCAGGCTTGACAAATTTTGCTTGTATGAAGATCCTTTGTGCATCAATGCCTTCCTTCTTATTGACAGTTTGACGTGTCACATAGGAATTACTGGCAGTCACAAATCCTGCGTCCTCAAACAACTGAGCAAGCTCTTCCTCCACGAAGTAATATGCCCTAAAATGAAATGATTACATCAATGACAAATTTAACTGACTAGGGTATTCAACGAGTACACATTAAGTTTATCCAATAAGCATCTACAGAAATTCATATAGGTACCAACCTAGTGCCATCCTGTCGCACATACAGACGCTCTCCAAGTTTGCTTCCTGGCCCAAACCTCAGCATAGCCATGTCATACAAGCCATAGTCACGGACTAGTACCATACCACCTGGTCGCAGAGAACGGTACAAGTTTGAAATGGCGGCTTGGAATTTGTCAGGATGCAAGGCCGAAAGGACAAAGATCAAGCTGATAATGTCCACTGCATGGTTAGTCTTTTCAAGCAATTCATCCTGAAAAGGGAGAAATGTTTTAGCATGAACATTTTGAAGCCAATACAGGTCTATATCACTCACTTATCCAGTTCTGAATATTTACATACATTCAAGTTACAAACTTACCTTAGTAATGTCACACTGGAAAGCATTAACTTTCGTTTCATCATACATGGGATGGCTCCTCACAAATTCTATTGCTCTTGGGGAGAAGTCGCATGCATAAACAAAGAGGTTCAAGCCATCTTCCAGCAGTGGATAGAAGAAATTTCCAACTCCACAACCAACCTATATGCAAAATAAAAAGGTTACAATCATATATTTCAGATTTCACTGGCAGCATACTACCTAGTCGCAATCAAATATATTTCCAATTTATTTCACGGGCAGCATTCTACCAATAGTTGGATACATAACTCACCTCTAACAAAGTTCTTTTCACGGCACCATCCCCTATGAGGTCTTGGAACTCCCGGGTTGTCCAATGCCGATCTTTGAAAAACCTTTAGAAAAAGAAAAAAATTTAATGCAGTTGAAGTCTGAAAGCTAAGTGTGATTTAAGATTTAAAATCTAAGTTTTCCTGCACTGATAAAATAATCTTTCATGGAAGAAAATGAAAAAGTAGAAAAAAATGAAAAAGAAAAAAAAAAAAAAAAAAAAAAAAAAAAAAAAAAAAAAAAAAAAAAAAAAAAAAAAAAAAAAAAATTTAATGCAGTTGCTAATAATTCAGATTCTATTAATACTGATATCCATATACCTACAAAGCAGTATTCTTGGGACAATCAACACCATACATACCTGGTTTCATTACGTTTGTAGAACTTGTCCCAGTTCTTTGCTGCTTCTTGCTCTAGTTTCTTTTGCTGGAATTCAGAAATCAATCCACGCGACTCCTGCCGTTTCAGCTTCTCCTCCTCCTCTGGGGTTAGGGAGCGGAGGTGGTGGCCAAGCATGCCTGCCTCTGGGATAGCCATCACTGCAGGAAAGGAAGGCGATTTACTTTAGACGATTCATCTTTAAGAACTACATTTCTGCTAAAAAAAAAAAAAAAATTAATGAAGTTGCTAATAATTCAGATACTATTAATACTGATATCCATATACCTACAAAGCAGTATTCTTGGGACAATCAGCACCATACATACCTGGTTTCATTACGTTTGTAGAACTTGTCCCAGTTCTTTGCTGCTTCTTGCTCTAGTTTCTTTTGCTGGAATTCGGAAAGCAATCCACGCGACTCCTGCCTTTTCAGCTTCTCCTCCTCCTCTGGGGTTAGGGAGCGGAGGTGGTGGCCAAGCATGCCTGCCTCTGGGATAGCCATCACTGCAGGAAAGGAAGGCGATTTACTTTAGACGATTCATCTTTAAGAACTACATTTCTGCATGCAAATTTTAAATAATTGATACAAATACAACTAGTAACCTATACACTCAGTTGTGCAGAAAGTCTGAAAGCTAAATGTGATCTAAGATTTAAAATCTAAGTTTTCCTGCACTGATAAAATAATATTTTATGGAAGAAAGAAAAAGTAGAAAAAAATGAAAAAGAAAAAAGAAAAAGAGGGCTAGATAGAAGCAAGGCACATGAGAAAGGGCACTAGAGCAGAAAGAAAATCTGCATTAAAATTCAATTTGTTGCTCTAGGAACAAACTACGGAGATCATAGAAGGCAGAAATATGCACTAATAAACACCAATATACTCACTGGCTTCTAGAACACAGAAGACCTGGCCAGTGTTCTGTAATGTAAAGGAATATTCAATTAAACCAATGTTCTGTGGCAGCCAAGACCAGAACTTGCAAGTTAATAATCAGCTCCGAAACATTTAACATTATAATTCTATATGGCACTATGTTTTCATCAGTTTAATATTTCATGTAAGAAAACATTGGAAAATCAAAAAGGTACTTGCCTTTATTGTGGCATTTTGAAGCTACTCAAGTCACAGTACTCCTGAAAGTAAACGAGAACTTTCTTTGAAATACAATGGCAGTTACTACTACAATAAAGTAAGGCATTAAGTCCATGAAGGTAATACAATATTTCAAAACCGCTGTAAATCAAAAGATGAAAATTCTCAATATTTCTAGAAGGTTATATATACTATAAGCTTATATTTTCACGGAAAGAAACTAAAAATTGAACAAGCAACGAGATATGGGTACGGCTGGCTTTTGTAACGGTGCTCGACCACGTGGTACGAATTCGTTCATTAACTTCAATAATGACTAAGTGATCCCGGTTACGTTGTAGAGCGAATGCCATGAATCATTATAAGGCTGGCTAATCAAGTACAGTTAAAATAGTATTTAGATGGCGTTTATTTAAAATGGAAAAAAATTACTTGCTTCGTTAAAAAAAAAAAAGTCGTTATTTATAAGTATATAATATTACCAAGTATTAAAACCAGGGGCAAACTCAGGATATTAAGCTTTTCAGAATTACTGAAACTTTGAAGACAAACTACTCAACGACCTTCTGTAAACTAAATAAATTACTTTACGAACTTTACTGAGTTGCTCGAGGGAAAGACCCCAAAACGGGCACCTTAGCAACCGAACATCTTTCGTTTCGTAATCGTTAAACATCCACCATATGGATACACAATAATCGATGAAGATAGGCGAATCACCTTTCACACGTGTCGAACTACTAGTAAGGACACGTGTACAGGCAACTTACCAATAGAAGTCCTAGATTTCCCGGATTCTAGATTTTTCAGGAGATGAGGAAGAGGACTTTCTCTTCAGCCTGCGAGGACCAAGTGGCCGATTCTCCTCGTCTTGCTTACGTCACATCCTCGCTCGCACCCACTTCATGCCGCATACTCCCAGATAATTGTTATTAAACGTTTATTATCCTTCTTTCCTTTATATTTAAGACATAAACTTTATATAGTTATACTCCGAAATATAAATTCGACATTCTTAGTCCTCTTAGAGCAAATATAAAAATAAACTGTCTTTGAAAAATAGTAAAAGGCGGTCATATGAATATACAACTCCCCCTCTCCGATCTTGGAAGACGTGTACCAATGAGAGAGCAGAACTAGATGTGACGTCAACCAATCGAAATTCACCCAGTGGTACCACGTGGTCTAAATCCACCAATCAGAGATCTCCACGAGACTTTGCAGACGATACATGTATCCCAACGCAAGCTGAGGACGCCGAGTGTCATTCACCGACAGGGAGAGGAGAGACGTACATTGAGTGGAGTTCTGTGATTACTTGTGATTGAATCAACTAGATTCACATAGTGGTCCTTTAAACGACGTAAGTATTAGTGGTTTGTTATTTGTGATGCTGGGCTGGTGTTGCAAAAGTGAATATATAAACATTTCAACGTGATTTCTAGACTTCAAGGAAAGATTACCGGCGCGATGGTTGCATTAGAATGTCAAACTGCTGTGCCTAATTATATCCAAATTCCTTCTCGCTCGTAGTTATTGCAAAGGTCTGCAATCATATTACATGCAGGGAAAAACTATTATAAATGTTTGGCGGAACGAGGGGCGGGGTGTGGGCGGAGGCGGATTCGAGAACCTCCTAGAAATTTCGTATTTCATTGTTCATTCCCTTTTAGTGTTTGGTAATTAAATATTCCCTTTAAACCTTAGTAATTATTAACAAAGCACACTCGGAAGATAATTTTAAATATTTCGTATCTAAAATGCGTTAAAGCTGTTCGGGCCAAAAGGCGTACACCGGCTTCACCTGTCAAAGTCATCATGTGTGAATTTTAACCTGGGCTTGGAGGGGGAGGAGGAAACGCTAATTTTAGCACGAACAAGACTACAAGGTCATTGGCCCCAGATTGCTTCGGCAACATATGTCACTCCTTTCGCGTGGCAAATGGCAACCGGAAGTTCTAAAACGCCTGTCAAGTAGGGCGTGTGACGTCAGCAGGTGGTCAGCCTAACGGGATAAGGCGGCTGCTCTCGGGGCGGTGCGGGCTTGGGTGGCACTTGTCCATGTGTGGGTGCGGGAATGTGCTGGGTTCTAGTGGATTCAGGGCTGTTTTTCAGGGTTTTAATTTAGCTGGGGAAAGTAATATGGGGCTTAGGAATAAGCGGGTGTTGCTGTCAGTCGATTAACTTGTGCTGCATTTTTAAAATTTTAGACTATCCTAGACTTTTAGGATAGCTGCTGCTTAGGACTTGTTTACCATGCAATTTCTGACTATTTTTTTTCTTGCAGACTATGAGGTGTTGGACAGCATTAGCAGCGATCGCTGCCGTCATGGCAGTGGCTGCAACGGCGAAGGACAAGAAGGAAGAAGTTGGAACCGTCATTGGTATCGACTTGGGAACCACTTATTCATGGTAAGTTTATACGGTTATTAAATAACTAACCTCATGAAGAGGAGGAGGAAACGCTTAATTTTAGCACGAACAATGACTACAAGGTCATTGGCCCCAGATTGCTTCGGCAACATATGTCACTCCTTTCGCGTGGCAAATGGCAACCGGAAGTTCTAAAACGCCTGTCAAGTAGGGCGTGTGACGTCAGCAGGTGGTCAGCCTAACGGGATAAGGCGGCTGCTCTCGGGGCGGTGCGGGCTTGGGTGGCACTTGTCCATGTGTGGGTGCGGGAATGTGCTGGGTTCTAGTGGATTCAGGGCTGTTTTTCAGGGTTTTAATTTAGCTGGGGAAAGTAATATGGGCTTAGGAATAAGCGGGTGTTGCTGTCAGTCGATTAACTTGTGCTGCATTTTTAAAATTTTAGACTATCCTAGACTTTTAGGATAGCTGCTGCTTAGGACTTGTTTACCATGCAATTTCTGACTATTTTTTTTCTTGCAGACTATGAGGTGTTGGACAGCATTAGCAGCGATCGCTGCCGTCATGGCAGTGGCTGCAACGGCGAAGGACAAGAAGGAAGAAGTTGGAACCGTCATTGGTATCGACTTGGGAACCACTTATTCATGGTAAGTTTATACGGTTATTAAATAACTAACCTCATGAATAGTTTGACTTTTAATTTTAAACTTTTGTGTACTTGCCTGTTTGTAATGTGCATAAATTAACTTTAAATATCTTCCTCTCCCCCCTCTAGCGTTGGTGTGTTCAAGAACGGGCGAGTCGAGATCATTGCCAACGACCAGGGTAACCGCATCACCCCCTCCTACGTCGCCTTCACTGCCGACGGCGAGCGTCTGATTGGTGACTCTGCGAAGAACCAGCTGACGACCAACCCCGAGAACACGGTGTTCGATGCCAAGCGTCTCATCGGCCGAGAATGGACCGACAAGTCCGTTCAGCACGACATCCAGTTCTTCCCCTTCAAAGTGATCAACAAGAACGACAAGCCTCATATCAAGGTCGCCACCACCCAGGGCGAGAAGGTCTTTGCCGCAGAGGAGATTTCCGCCATGGTGCTGGGCAAGATGAAAGAGACCGCTGAGGCTTACCTAGGCAAGCCCGTGACCCACGCTGTTGTCACCGTCCCTGCCTACTTCAACGACGCTCAGCGCCAGGCCACCAAGGACGCTGGCACCATCGCCGGCCTCACCGTCATGAGGATCATCAACGAGCCCACCGCCGCCGCCATCGCCTACGGCATCGACAAGAAGGACGGCGAGAAGAACATCCTGGTCTTCGATCTGGGCGGCGGAACCTTCGACGTCTCCCTCCTCACCATCGACTCGGGCGTGTTCGAGGTCGTGGCCACCAACGGAGACACTCATCTTGGAGGCGAGGACTTCGATCAGCGAGTGATGGACCACTTCATCAAGCTGTACAAGAAAAAGAAGGGCAAGGATATCAGGAAGGACAACCGTGCCGTGCAGAAGCTCCGTCGTGAAGTGGAGAAGGCCAAGCGCTCCCTCTCCTCCAGCCACCAGGTCAGGATCGAGATCGAGTCCTTCTTCGAGGGTGATGATTTCTCGGAGACCCTCACCCGTGCCAAGTTCGAGGAGCTGAACATGGATCTCTTCAGGTCCACCATGAAGCCCGTGCAGAAGGTGCTGGAAGACTCTGACCTCCAGAAGAAGGAAATTGACGAGATTGTACTTGTTGGTGGTTCCACTCGTATCCCTAAGATCCAGCAGCTGGTGAAGGAGTTCTTCGGTGGCAAGGAGCCATCCCGAGGCATCAACCCAGATGAGGCTGTGGCTTATGGCGCTGCTGTCCAGGCTGGTGTGCTCTCTGGTGAGGACGACACCAACGACCTCGTGCTGCTCGACGTGAACCCCTTGACCCTGGGTATTGAGACCGTGGGAGGTGTCATGACCAAGCTGATCCCTCGCAACACTGTCATCCCCACCAAGAAGTCCCAGATCTTCTCCACCGCCTCTGACAATCAGCACACTGTCACCATCCAGGTATTCGAAGGTGAACGACCCATGACCAAGGATAACCACATCCTAGGAAAGTTCGACTTGACTGGCATCCCCCCTGCCCCCCGTGGTGTCCCTCAGATCGAGGTGACTTTCGAGATCGATGCCAACGGTATCCTGCAAGTGTCTGCTGAAGACAAGGGCACAGGAAACAAGGAAAAGATTACCATCACCAATGACCAAAACCGTCTCACTCCTGAGGATATTGAGCGCATGATCAAGGACGCAGAAGTGTTCGCCGACGAGGACAAGAAGCTGAAGGAGCGAGTCGAATCTAGGAACGAACTCGAGTCCTATGCCTACAGTCTCAAGAACCAGATTAACGACAAGGAAAAGCTTGGAGCCAAGCTTTCCGATGAAGATAAGGAAAAGATGGAGGAAGTCATTGAAGAGAAGATCAAATGGCTCGAGGACAACCCCGAAGCAGAGGCTGAGGACTACAAGACTCAAAAGAAGGAACTGGAAGACGTCGTCCAGCCAATCATCTCTAAGCTTTACCAACAGAGTGGTGAGGCGCCTCCTCCAACAGAAGACGAAGAAAATTATGAAAAGGACGAGTTGTAGGTTTTATATGGGGGCATTAGACGTACCATAATTTATTCTCCTTATGAACGGGGGAGCATATTGCATGGAAAAATTAGTTTTTCATCTTCATCATGTTAATATAGTACTCAGCTAGTTGTCATCTCATCTGTGTGAGAGTTGGGTAAATAAGGAAAGGCATTTTTTTCTGTATGTTTCTGCACAATTTCATTCCAAGTGTGAATGCAAGAGAATGTATGCTTTCTATAATAAATTATAAAATCTTTATTTATGTGTACTTATCCTTATGTTCATTGTTCACAAGGGAATACAAAGATAAAATTCAGGCTATAAATGGAGGTGTACAATATTTCTATACCTATCACTTGCCATTTACTAAAAGGCAAGAAAATGAATTGGATGAAACCTGTACTCCAGTTTAGCACAATGTTTATCTTGCAATAATGAACTTAAAAAAGAAAATGAGACCTAGACTCTGAAAGACAACTTAACCCAAACCTACATTCCATCGTAACTTACTTTTGTTCATTTTTGAGGTCTGGGGGTAAATTACTAGTAATTACTTCATAATATTGTTACCGAGTAACGATAGTGGGGGTGGTGGGAATAAACTTTGACAGTCTTGAACGACTAATCAGACCCAGCTGATGTCCTAAAGGTGTTTAAAGCAAATACTCAAATTTGAACATGCATAATTAAGGAGTATAAAGGTCTGTAGCAGCATAATAAATGGTGGTCATTTGGGGATTAGGCCTATCCGTACTGGCTGGCATGTGTGTGGACAACCTTTACACAGAATTAGAGTACAATTTGCTGGAATTTCTCCATTTCTCCGAAGGTTAATAACCCCGAAACTCCTTTTTGTGTGCGTGTGTGTGGGGGGGGGGTTAAATGCAAGGGATGGACATATAATTTTATGGACAAGTATGTTTATATATAATTTGGCATGCGTGAAGTGCTTTTAAATGCTCATAATTGTAATGAAAGCAAAATATTAGATGTACATTCTGGTATCCATACATATATATATGCAGAATATACATGTACTTCTATACACACACAATCCGCAAAGAAAGAACTCGTGTGCTCATGGAAGTACACTAAAGTATGCTACACACAATCTAGATACTGTTACATAGAGAAACATGAGTATGTATACATTATATACATACATAATATGCAAATGTACGAAATAACGCTCTCACATATTCACTCGCACTCATTCACTTATTCAATCACTCGGCCACTCTTCCTCTCCTTCCTTCTCTCATTTCTTTATTCTACTTTTTTTCTCCCTTTCCCTCCACACACGTACGTACGTACGTACGTAAACACTAACACTAAACACTAAACACAACACTAAACACTAAACACTAAACACTAAACACTAAACACTAAACACTAAACACTAAACACTAAACACTAAACACTAAACACTAAACACTAAACACTAAACACTAAACACTAAACACTAAACACTAAACACTAAACACTAAACACTAAACACTAAACACTAAACACTAAACACTAAACACTAAACACTAAACACTAAACACTAAACACTAAACACTAAACACTAAACACTAAACACTAAACACTAAACACTAAACACTAAACACTAAACACTAAACACTAAACACTAAACACTAAACACTAAACACTAAACACTAAACACTAAACACTAAACACTAAACACTAACATATATATTTAAATATGTACACATATGTATATATATATATATATATATATTTAAATATGTACACATATGTACATATATATATATATTTAAATATGTACACATATGTACATATATATATATATATATATATATATATATATATATATATATATATATATATATATATATATTTAAATATGTACACATATGTACATATATATATATATATATATATATATATATATATATATATATATATATATATATATATATATATATTTAAATATGTACACATATGTACTACATATGTATATATATATATATATATATAT